CCAGGTGGCACCAAGCCACGCTGATCCACACCTGGTGGCGCTACAGCATGCTGATCCACACCTGATGGCGCTGCAGCACGCCGATCCACGCCAGGTGGCACCAAGCCACGCTGATCCACACCTGTTGGTGCTACAGCATGCTGATCCATGCCAGTGGGCACCAACCCACGCTGATCCACGCCAGGTGGCACCAAGCCACGCTGATCCACACCTGTTGGCGCTATAGCACGCTGATCCACACCAGATGGCACCAGGCCACGCTGATCCACACCTGGTGGCGCTGCAGCATGCTGATCCACGCCAGGAGGCACCAAGCCATGCTGATGTACGCCAGGTGGCACTAAGCCACGCTGATCTACACTTGGTGGTGCTAGAGCATGCTGATCCACACCACGTGGCACTAAGCCACGCTGATCCACACCTGGTGGCGCTGCAGCATGCTGATCCACGCCAGGGGGCACCAAGCCACGCTGATCCACACCTGGTGGTGCTGCAGCACGCTGATCCACGCCAGGAGGCACCAAGCCACGCTGATCCACACCTGGTGGCACTACAGCAAGCTGATCTATGCCAGTGGGCACCAACCCATGCTGATCCACGCCAGGGGGCACCAAGCCACGCTGATCCACACCTGGTGGCGCTACAGCACGCTGATCTACACCAGTGGGCACCAACCCACGCTGATCCACAACAGGTGGCAACAAGTTATGCTGATCCACGCCAGGTGGCACAAAGCCACGCTGGTCCACACCTGGTGGTGCTACAGCACCCTGATCTATGCCAGGAGGTACCAAGCTACGCTGATCCACGCCAGTGGGCACCAACCCACGCTGATCCACACCTGGTGGCACCAAGCCACGCTGATCCTTGCCAGGGGGCACCAATCCACGCTGATCCATGCCAGGTGGTACCAAGCCACGCTGATCCACAGCTGCTGGTGCTTCAGCACGCTGATCCACTCCAGGGGGCACTAAGCCATGCTGATCCACGCCACGTGGCACCAAGCCACGCTGATCCACACCTGGTGGCACTACAGCACGCTGATCCATGCCAGTGGGCACCAACCCACGCTGATCCACGCCAGGTGGCACCAAGCCACGCTGATCCACACCTACTGGCACTACAGCCTGCTGATCCATGCCTGGGGGCACCAAGCCACGCTGATCCACACGTGCTGGTGCTACAGCACGCTGATCCATGCCAGGGGGCACCAACCCACTCTTATCCACACCACGTGGCACCAAGCCACGCTGATCCATACCTGGTGGCTCTACAGCACGCTGATCCACGCCAGTGGGCACCAACCCGTGCTGACCCATGTCAGGTGGCACCAAGCCACGCTGATCCACACCTGGTGGCGCTACAGCACGCTGATCCACTCCATGGGGCACCAACCCACTCTGATCCACTCCAGAGGCCACCAACCCACGCTGATCCATACCCGGTAGCACTACAGCACGCTGCTCCATGCCATGGGGCACCAGGCCACGCTGATCCTCTCCAGTTAGCATCAAGCCACGCTGATCCACACCAGGTTGTACCAAGCCAAGCTGATCCACACCTGGTGGCACTACAGCACGCTTATCCACACCAGTTGGTACCACGCCATGCTGATCCACACCCGATGGTACTACAGCACGCTGACCCATCCCAGGGGGCACTAATCCACGCTGATCCACACCAGGTGGCATGAAACCACGCTGACCCATACCCGGTGGTACGACAGCACGTTGATACATGCCAGGGGGCACCAAGCCACGCTGATCCACACCTGGAGGTACTACAGCACGACGATCCACACCACGTGGCACTAAGCCACGCTGATCCACGCCACGTGGCACCAAGCCACGCCGATCCATGCCAGGGGGCACCAACCCACGCTGATCCATGAGATGTGGTACTACAGCACGCTGATCCGCTCCACGTGGCACCAAGCCACGCTGATCCATGCCAGGGGGCACGAACCCACGCTGATCCATGACAGGTGGTACTACAGCACGCTGATCCACACCATGTGGCACCAAGCCACGCTGATCTATGCCAGGGGACATCAACCCATGCTGATCCACACCACGTGTCACAAAACCATACTGATCCATGCCAGGGTACACCAACCCATGCTGATCCACACCAGATGGTACTATAGCACCCTGATCCAGGCCAGAGGGCATCATAGCATGCTGATCCATGCCAGGGGGCTCTAAGCCACGTTGATCCATGCCAGTTGTTACCACAGCACCCTGATCCATGCCAGGGGACATCAAACCACGCTGATCCACACCAGCTGGCACCAGGCCATGTTGATCTTTGTCAGGAGATACTACTACAGTACCCTGATCCACACTGGGTGGTACTACAGCACCATGATCCACACCAGGTGGCACAAAGCCATGCTGATCCATGCCAGGTGGTGCCATGCCATGATGATACATGCCAGGTGGTATAGCAGCACCCTGATCCACACCAGGTGGCACCATGCCACGCTGATACACACCAGGGGGCACCATGCCACGCTGATGCATGCCAGGGGGCACCATGCCACGCTGATACACGCTAGGTGACACCAAGCCAGGCTTATCCACACCAGGTGGTACTACTATAGTACCCTGATCCACACCGGGTGGCACAAAGCCATGCTGATCCATGCTAGGTGGCACCATGCCACGCTGATACACACCAGGGGGCACCATGCCACGCTGATCCATGCCAGGGGGCACCATGCCACGCTGATATATGCTAGGTGACACCAAGCCAGGCTGATCCACACCGGGTGGCACCAAGCCATGCTGATCCACGCCGAGGGGCACCATGCTACGCTGATCCACATCAGGTGGCACCATGCCAGGCTGGTCCATGCCGGGTGGTACCATGCTAGGCTTACCCAGGGTGGTTGACACTATGCCAGGCTTATCCAAGGTGGGTGGTACCATGCCAGGCTTACCCATCTCACGTGGCACTGTGCCACGCTGATCCACACTCGGTGGCACCAAGCCAGGCTTATCCACGGCAGGTGGCACTATACCATGCTGGTCCTTGTCAGGTGTCACCAAGCCAGGCTGACCCATACCAGGCTTATCCATGGCAGGTGGCACTATACCACGCTGATCCTTAGCAGGTTGCACCATGCCAGGCTGATCCATGCCAGGCTTATCTATGCTGGGTGGCACCATGCCAGGCTTACCCACACCATGTGGCACCGTGCCACGCTGAGCCGCACCAGGTGGCACCAAGCCAGGCTTTTCCACGGCAGGTGGCACTATACCATGCTGATCCTTGGCAGGTGGCACCAAGCCAGGCTGATCCACACCTGGTGGCACTATGCTAGGTTGATCCACACTGGATGGCACCAAGCCACGTGGACCCACGCTGGGTGGCACCAAGCCACGGTGACCCATGTCATGTGACACCAAGCCACGTGGACCCATGCGGGGTGGCAGCATGCCACGATGACCCATATCAGGTGGCACCATGCCTTGCTGACTCATCCCAGGCTGTACCAAATCATGCTGAACTGTATCAGGTGATATCAAACCATGCTGATCCACTCCTGGCTGCACCAAACCTTGCAGATCTATGCCAGGCTGGGCCAAACCATGCTGACCTATATCAGGTTGGACCAAATGATATGGCTCTGCAGCAGGCTGCACCAAACCAGGTGGAAATGCACCAGGCTGCACCCAGTCATTAGGCAGTTCCCCTAGTTGTACCAGACCATACTGATCTACTCCAGGATGGACTAACCCACGCTGATCTCTGGCACGTTGCACTACACCACGCTGATCTGTACCAGGTGGCACCACATCAAGCTGACCTGCACCAGGTGGCACCAGATCATGTGGATATACACCAGGTTGGACAAAGCCAGGCTGAGCTGTTCCAGGAGGTGCCAAACCAAGCCTATGTGGACCAGGCCAGACCAAATCACGCCGACCTCTGCCAAGTTGCACCAAACCTTGTTGGTCTGTCCCAGGTGGTACCAAACCACCCTGATCTGCACGAGGCTGCACCAGACCACGCTGCCCTGAATCAGTTTGCACTAAACCAGGATGAACCATTCCAGGCTGCACCAAGCCAGGTTGATCTCTCCCAGGCTGGATGAAATCATACTGCTTGGTGCCAGGTTGTATGAAGCCAGGTGCTTCCAAAGTGGGCTGTAGCAAACCTTGTTGATCTCTACCAACTTGCATCAAACCAGGTGATATCAAATCATACTGATCTGTGAGAGGTAGAAGCAATCCTTGTTGATCTATTCCAGGCAGTACCAGTTGTTGCTGACCCAAGCCAGCGGGTATCAGTCCTTGCTGATCCATGCCAAGTAGTCCCATATCACGCTCACGTATGCCGGCCTGTTCCATACCGAGTTGATCTGTGTCAGGAAGTATCATGCCATACCGATAGGCCATATCAACTTGGTCTATACCAGGTAGTTCCAATCTTTGTTGACCTCTGCCAGGTACTAAAGGTGGCACAACACCATGCTGATCCATGCCAAGTGGTACCAAGCCCTGATAGTATATTTCAGGTGGTGGCTCACCAAGCTGACTCTCATGAAGCGGCACCACACCATGTGGATAAGTGCTAGCATATGGCAACACTGTGCCAGGTAGTCCCATGCTTTGCTGATCTGGCCTTGCATAGACTTCGTCTTGGCTGACACGTGCCCCACGGCGCTGATCTGGATATGCATAATGCTGATCTCTGGCTGAGGGTAAGTCCTGTTGCGATGGGCCAGGGCGTGCATCTCGTTCATCTCTTCTTGGACGTGTTGAGGTCTCTCTACCTCTGCGGCGCTCTGGCTCTGCTTTTAACTGGGATGTAGCTTGGCGGGGTTTTGACATGCCAGCTTCATCACGGGCCCTTCCAAGGAATCTAGTAGTAGAGGGACCCCTGCTTCGTCCCCTGAGGGCAGCATCTTCAGAAGGGTATCCACTGGATTCTGATGACTGATCTAGGCCACCAGTGGAATCCTGAACCTGGTCAGAACTTGGATGCTTCACAGAGGCTAGACTAGGAGCCTGATCACTCAATGTTAAAGCAGATGGCCCTCTGCGCTTAGGAAGTCCCATTTGGCCTAAGCCCTAGAAGAAGAAAGTCAATAACTTCAAGTCAAAAATACTGCAAGAGTCAAAAGGAAGGAGATCTGGGATATCTAACTCTGGTGACTTAAAGCCCTTAATGAGAAAAACTATCTGGTCCTAAAAGCTAAGTTGGACATAAAGACTTTCACATTCTTTTTTAAAAATTTTATTTATTTTACTTGTTGACAAACCTTTATTTTTTATTTATACATGGTGCTGAGAATCGAACCCAGTGCACTTAAAGCCCTTAATGAGAAAAACTATCTGGTCCTAAAAGCTAAGTTGGACATAAAGACTTTCACATTCTTTTTTAAAAATTTTATTTATTTTACTTGTTGACAAACCTTTATTTTTTATTTATACATGGTGCTGAGAATCGAACCCAGTGCCTCACACATTCAAGGCAAATGCTCTACCACTGAGCCCCAGCCCCAGCCCCAAGACTTTAACATTCTTAAAGGTTATCAGGTTTTTGAGACTGCACCTGTGTAAATGGCATCTTAACATGCAATTTTCTTCATAAAAGATGGGAAACTACAAATACAAGTGATCCTCCAGGCTCTTACTGAGTCACGAATAAAGGATGGAAGTCACTTGTAAATTTAAAATCTAAAGTCTGCCCAGTTATTGGCCCATTGCTGATGGTAGAGGTGCACACTGGAGATGAGCAAACCAAACTGTAAAGGATCCAAGCCTTGGGTCGGAACTCCACAGAAAGGGATTTTCTCTATGGACTGTCACACAGATGCCAGGAGGTATGTACAAAACGGAGCCTGCAGCCCTGCTCAGGCGAGAGATTATCCATACTTGGGGCAGACCCAGGTGGTGAAATACTATGAGCCCACTCAAAATTAATGATGGAATATTTCCATTTTTAGCCAAGAGGGCGTAACAGAGACTGAATTTACCCTCTCACCTGTAACAGCCAAAACTTAAACATTGAAAAGTCATAACTATGAAATAGTGGTTTTTCAAACAAGGGTAACAGGGAATGAAGAAATAGAAAATTCCTGAGACTATGGAGTGGCTGCAGTGCAGGGAGGAGGCTGAGATGGAGCCTACAGGATTCCCAGAGTAGAGACGGAGGCAACTCAGGTCCACAGGACAGAGTATCAGCAGGAAGAGAAATGCAGCCAGCACAGAAAGGATCCAGGTGAGGAGAGTACCAACCAACCTCACACAGCTAGGAGAACAGGGCCCAGAGTCTTCGAGGCTGAGGAGGTGCCTGCTTTGACCAGTCAGTTTGGAAAAACTCATCATTCAAGGGGCACAGGGCAGTGTTCTCAGAAAAGGGTTGCCTGTGAGGTAGACAACAGTCCACCCCAGACCGAACACTGCTACGGACCCACCTCACAAATCTAAAACAAGAGCTGAGAGGATCAAACTGTTTTTAAATAACTGCATTATGATGAGGGATTATAAAAATATTCAGCATCCCACCAAGAAAATTCACAGTGACTAGCAAGCAATCAAAGATGACCAGGCATGTAAACAGACATAAAAACATGACCCTTAATGAGGAGACGGTTCAGTTGATTGAAACCACCCCACAGTGACCCAGGGACTAGAATTAGCAGGAAAGGATACTAAAACAATGAACACAGCTATTAGTTGTTATGTTCAACAAGGTAAATAGAGACATGGAAATTTTTTTGTATTTTTGGTGGTGCCAGTGATTGAACTCAGGAACTTGCATATGTTAGGCAAGTGCTCTGCTACTGAGCTACAGCCCCAGCCCATTTAAATTTTTAAAATTTTATCTTATTTTATATTTTGAAACAGGGGCTTGCTAAACTGCTGAGGCTGGCCTCAAATTTATGATCCTCCTGCTTTAGACTCACGAGTCACCGGAGATTACAGTTGTGTACCACTGAGCCCAGCTGGAGGATATTTTAAAAACAATCTGAATTGAATTAAAGTCTGAGATGAAAAATAACTGGATGAGATTAATTACAAGTTAGGCATCACAGAGGAAAAGTTTGCCAAAATATAGTTTCTGTTGCTATATCTGGAGATATAACAACAGAAACTATCTGAAACCAAATGAGAAATAAAAATTACAAAATGAAAAAGCATCAGTGAGCTATTAGGTAAATGGGAGCATGCATGTGTGTGTGCATGTGCACGTGCGCATGCATACACACACACACACACACACACACACACACATTGGAATTCCTGAAGGAGAAGAGGGAGACGGAAGAGGAAAAAAAGATTTGAAGAATGGTCCAAAACTTCCCACACTTGATGAAAACTATAAACCCAGAGATACAAGAAGCTCAATGTACTCAAGCACAGAAGACCATGACATGCCATGGCACACCAAAGCAGTGATGTAGAGGTAATCTTAAAACAGCAGAGAAAAGGAGGTGTACGCTGCAGAACCAAGCAGAGTGTGGTGGAGTGCTCGCTGGGAAGAGGGCTGCAAGGAGGCAGCGGGTGACACCCCATGGGAAATAAAAGCTGTCCACAGGCTGGGACACCGTGGCACCCACTGTAATCCCAGTGACTCAGGAAGCTGAGGAAGGAGGAGTTTGAGGCCAGCCTCAAAAACTTAGCAAGATCCTGTCTCAAAATAAAAAATGAAAAGGGCTGGGGCTGGGGATGTGGCTCAAGTGGTAGCGCGCTCGCCTGGCATGCGTGCAGCCCGGGTTCGATCCTCAGCACCACATACAAACAAAGATGTTGTGTCCGCCGAAAACTAAAAAATAAATATTAAAAAAAATTCTCTCTCTCTCCCTCTCTCTTTTTAAAAAAAAAAAAAGAAAAGAAAAGGGCTGAGGGTATGGCTCAGTGGTAAGACACCCCTGGGTTCCATCTCCAGCACCAAAAGAAAAACAAGGAGGGGGGGATGCATTATAGTAGCCAAAAAAAGTGGCTATACTAATATCAGACAAAATAGGCTTTAAGACAAATTTATTACTAGAGACAAAGAAATGTACATTACAAGGCTTTGATCCCCAGTACCACACACACACAAAAAAAATGTATTCTATAAACCTAAAGTTACAGCTAGTCAGACAACAAAGAAGGTAAAATGGAATGAAAAATACTCAGTTCAAAAGGGGCAGAAAAGAGGGACAGAGAAACAAATGGATCAAAAAAATCTTTTAAAAACCACTTGTTATAAAAAAATGAAATCACAATATTAATATTAGACAAAACTGATTTCAAAGCTAAGACTATTATTAGTATTAGAAGGTAATTACTGGGGCTGGAGCTGTGGCTTAGTGGTAGAACACTTGTGCGTGAGGCCCTGGGTTCAATCCCATGCACCATATAAAAATAAATAAAGGCATTGTGTCCAACTATAACTAAAAAATAAATTTTTTAAAAAAGAAGGTGGGAGGGAGGGTGTGTAGTTCAGTGGTAGAACAGGTGCTTATTAGCATGCTTGGCCCTGGATTTAATCCCCAGCACCAAAAAAAAAAAAAAAAAGCAATTCCTTAATATAAAGAGATCAATCCATCAAAAAGACATCTGGGCAGGGCGTGGTGGCACACACCTGTAATCCCAGTGGCTCGGGAGGTGGAGGCAGGAGGATTGCAAGTTCGAAGCCAGCCTCAGCAATTTAATGAGGCGCTAAGCAACTCAGACCCTAGCTCAGTGGTCGAATGCTCATGAATTCAATCCCATGTACTCCCCTGCACCCCCCAAGAAAGACATTTGTTCTAAATGTTTGTGCACCTAACAGAGCCACCAATTACAGGAGGTGGTGGATGAAGCCCCAGTCAGGGATTTCAATACCCCTGGTTAGAAGTCGGGTAAGAACACTGCATGTTTCATAGGGTTACCATAGCAAGTCCCATAACCTTTAACAGTAGAAATTTCTTGTCTCGAAGTTCTGGAGTCTAGAAGTCTGAAATGCAATAATGAGCGGGACTAGTTCCATCTGAGGCTGTGAGGGAGGTCTCCTCTTCTCTCCCAGTGCCTTATAGCCTCCAGCCTTTCTTTCTCTTATCATCACATCATCTTCCCTTGGCTCATGACTGTTCTATCCAGATCTCCCCTTTTATAAAGACGTAGTCGTATTGGGTTAGGGTCCACCGTAATGTCTTCATCTGAACTTCATCATCTGCAAAGCTCCTATTTCCAAATATGGCCATGTTTGCAGGTCCTGGGGTGTAGGATCTCAAGACTTGTTTTGAAAGGACAGTTTAACCCTAATATATATAAAAGACTTAAATAACACCATCAACCTGTTTGATCTGATTGACATTTGTAGAATATTTCACCCCAAATAGCAGAAGATATATTTCTCCTTAAGTTCACATAAAATGGTCACAGAGGTAGATAATAACTTTAAAACATTTCAAGTGCATAAATCAGAAACCAGTGACAGAAATATCCTTGAAAAATCCTCAAATATTTAGAAAAAATGCAGATTTCCAAATATACCATGGATTAAAGAAGAAGTGAAAGGGGGTGTAGAAAATACCTAAAAGGCCTTAGAAAGGCTACAAACCAATCACTGCAAATAAAGCAGAAAGGAAATGGCAGCATGGAAAGACTTTCAAAAGTAAACCTTTCAGAGACACCCAACACATTACCAGTGTCAGAAAAACACTCCAGAAGCAGATGTGGCAGACTGTGTCCAGGTTTTCATCCAAATTTCAGAAACAAAAATAACAGGAAAATGGCAGCAAAAAATTCAGGTACACTGTATATACTGCCTCTGGAGGATAAGGTATGTATGAGTATCCTACAGCTGCTGTAACAAAGGACCCACAAACTTGGTGGCTTAAAACAACATAAAAATGTTATCATTCTGGAGGTCAGAAGTCCAACTTGACTAGCAAAAGTCAAGGTGCCGGTCAATAGGGCTGGTTCCTTCCAGAGGCTCCAAGGGAAAATCCTCTTTCAGCTTCTAACAGTTGCCAGGGGTCCTTGGCTTTGGCCATATCACCTTCTCTCCTATAGGGCTATCTCCTTCTGCTTCCTTCTTATAAGGACCCTGGTGATGATATCACTGGACTCCCTTCATGACCAGGAGAATCTCCTACCCTCAACATCTTTCCCTTCACCACATCTGCAAAGTCCCTTTGCCATGGCAGATGGCATGTCCAGGTTCTGTGGATTATGACAGACATCCTTGGAGCTATTACTCAGCCGCCCCACATCCAGTGACTAAAACCAAAGTCATGGTTCTATAGAACACTTTGAAATCCTGGAAAAATGGTGCAACAGCTACAGAGATTGGGGGCGGGGAATGAGGTCCTAGAAGAGCTGGTTCAGTTCTTATTAAGGGCATCAGATGAGACCATTTCATTTCTGAGGGCACTGGGGGCAAGTGCTGATGACCGAATGCAGACCACTCTTGAGACTTGTCCTTTAAGTATCCAAATGAACAATCAACAATTGTACAGGCTCTTCCCGGAAAGGAATCCTGGAGACCAGAAACACCTTCTGCGGTTCAGTCCCTTCCCCTGGCACTCCACGTCAAGGATGCAGAGTCAGAGACAGCAGCCACCCTCCACCTAGAACATTAATGCTCTCTGTCTCACCTTCTGACCCAGGCTCATCTCTCCCTGCCATCTCTGTTCCACTAAATCTATGATGGTAATATTTTTAAAAGCACCATTATTTTAGGTACCAATAGGAAAGAGAAAACAGTTCCAATTAATGATGAAATGCCACCAACTCTTAAGACACATCCTGGTTCCACCAATGTTCATCTCAGAGTCAGTGGGTGTAGTCTGGTCTGAACCGAGATACATTTCTACAGAGCCCTCTTTCTCTGTTCACCTGTTAGGCTGGGGCTCCTGAGCAATTAGGATGTGTGACGCTCCCCAAGCCTGAATGTGTCTAGCCGTCCCTCCCACACTGGGGCTGCATCCTGACTGTTTTAACAAAGACTCCAGCCCCGACAACCTGCAATTTCCGTGACCACAGTACAATACAAAATTCTTATTTCTGTTTTCCTGGGAGGTGCCATGACATCAGATGTATTCACTTTGCCCAGTTAAGATCAAGTTGATTTTATGAAGCACCTTTCTGAATTCCTCCACGGGGCTTTGGGTCCCAAAGCCGGAGATATCCAAATGTTGATCCCAACCCAGCAGGTGGACAGAGAAGAATGGACTTAGGATAAATACAATTTGACTCAAAACATTGGTCCAAAATAAACATTTTCTCACCTAATTCCCTGCTTCAGGAATCACACTTCCAGCTACACCCATTTATAAGCTCCCAAATCCTCAATATTCTCAAAATACATAATAGGTGGTTTTACTCAAGATCTTGACTCTGTTAATGTGGAAATATTACTTTACAATCTAGTAGCTCATATCTGGCAAGTCCTGGAAGGCAAAGTCCCACCCAGCCCCAGTGCCCACCTTTGTCTGTCCTGCCTTCCAGTTTTTGCCTCCAAGCACCTGGGAAATTTGGACTTTGGGTTTCTCAAGATGATTAGAAAGAACAATGTCATTTCTGGCCATTTTAAACTTGTCCATGGTGTTAAACTTTTTCTGTGGCCTTGTCCTCCATAGAGGCTGTGAACATGACTCCCTGTTTTTGCTTTCTGCTTTATTCAGCCTGTCAGGCCACCAGAGCTTCATAGAGAAGAGGTCCTTACCTCGGGCATACCATTTCTGCACGGGAGCACTTGGCTCCAGGTCATTGGACCTAGTAAAAGGGTGGCTGGAAAATGATCCAACAATTCTGACCTCTCCCTCAGGATTGAGCTGTCATCTGGATTTATTGTCGTGGTTACAGGAAACTGAAGAAGCTTGGTCTCATCTTAAAAACAGGTTGTTTTATTTGGGTTTGTGGTGCTGGGTCATATCCAGGGCCTTGCATATGCCAGGCAAGGGCTCTACACTGACTATATGTTCAGACCTTTATTAAGCAGGTATTGACTATGCTCTGGGGTTGGATTTTCCTAGTTAACAAGATTTATTTTATTTTATTTTATTGTCACTGGGTATTGAAACTGGGACACTGAAGCACTAAGCCACATCCTCAGCTCTTTTTATTTTGAGACAGGATCTCACTAAATTGCTTAGGTCCTCTCTAAATTGCTGAGGCTGGCCTCAAAATTGTGATCCTTCTGCCTTGGCCTCCCAAGTTGCTGGGATTACAGGTGTGCACCACCACACCCAGCCCAGTAACTCTTATTCTTTCTTATCATGAAGAAAAAAGTAGGAAGTGGAGAAGGAGCATCACCTTATCATCACCATCATCCTGTGGTACACAAAGTCATGAAGAACTGCCCAGCTGCCATTACAATATACTCTTGGCTGGGTACAGTGGGACATGCCTGTGATCCCAGCAACTCAAGATGCTGAGACAGGAGGATCACAAGTTCAAGGACAGCCTCAGCAATTTAGTGAGACTCTGTCTCAAAAAAAGGGGTGGGGAGTGGTATTGAAGATGTGGATCAGTGGTTAAGTGCCCTTAGGTTCAATCCGTAGTAACAAAACAAAAGACAAAAATGGATGTTTCCTTGTCTCTGAAAAAGTAAAAATCTCTGAAGGTGTATAATTATGCTTAAGTCTTGGGGTGACCTCTGCTGTTACCCTGAGGAAATGTGTTGCTTGCTAAAGCACCATGGTAGTGGTACCCGGCTGATAAAGCTTCAACTTTATTTCTTTGTGGTACTGGGGATTGAGCTCAGGGGCTCTACCACTGGGCTACATTTCTGGTCCTTTTTAAATTTTTGAGACAGTTTCTTTAAAATAAAAAAAAAAATTAAAAAGCCACCTTTTTCCAAGGAACTCCATTTACTTTTTTTTTTTTTTTTTTTTTGGTGCTGGGGATAAAACCCAGGACCTCATGCATACCAGGAAACTGCTCCACAACAGAGCCACATTCCCAGCTCCCTCTGGCAACTCTTTCTGAAGCTGTTTCCTCTGAGGATGGGCAAGGAACTCAGAAAACAGTCTTGGAGATTGGCAGGATGCCTGAGGCATCCAGATGGTATTTGGTATTCTCTAGGTGGCCACTGGGAGGCGCCAAAAGGCTCCTGCTTCACTCACTTCTGTGGGTACCTCAGGGGATCTGGTTTGAGGAGACCACTTGCAGAGTTGGGGGACAGAGAGCATGGAGACCAAAGGAGTAGCTGATCCTGGTCTGCGGGGGCTGTTTGAAAATATCCAGGTGAAGAGAGGTTGAGGGTTTGAAAATGATTTGGTCTTCCCGTGCATAGAACCAGAACAGATGGCCACATGCCCATATGCAGAGGTCACCATCAGCAAGGGGCCTCCTGCAAGGGTATTATTTCCAGGGTTGGTCACCCTGTTCCATGAACAGTGAAGGGACTTGTGCATTTCGGGACAGCTCGAAAAACTACAAAAGCTATGAAAACAATCAAGTGGGTACTGTTTCCACCTAACCCATTGGCAAAGTTCCAAACATCGAGGACTGACACTTGGGATGGGGGTGGGGGTGTCATGAAATAACTTCTCTCCTATGCTGCTCGTGGGAATCTAGGCTGGAACAACACCCTTGGAAGACAATCTGGCAATAGCCAGCCAAACTCAAAGGCACATTTCCATTTCTAGCAATTTACGCTCTTCACACATATGTCACCTGGGAGCACTCCTTATAAAATTGGGGGAAATATTTGTCTATAATATGGAACTTGTGAAATAAAGGATAGACATGCACACGGCAGAATCCCATTCTTGGTACAAAGAGAGGTTCTGGGGAGCCACACCCAAGACCACCACCAGGGACCCCAGTTTTTCACCATTTGTGAGCCTTTCCAGCCGTCAGCGATGGCTTGCTCCAGCTCTTCCCAGGTGACCATGGTGGCTTCTTCTGCACCAGGAACGGAACCCAGCTTCCAGTTTATTTGTTCCTGACAATAACAATAGTACACTTACACACATTACCCCTAATCGTAGGACGGACGGCTTAGGAACAGGATGTGTGGATCCATCCACAGCCCTAGCCCCAGGAAGAATTCACCATCCTTCAAGTGACCAACCAGTCTTGGGCAGCCAGTTCTTTGTCCCTTGTGAGTTCCCAATTCATGGTCAGGGATGGAAAGGATTTCCCCCTCAATCCAGGGGCACCACCCTGCTCTGGGGCCCAGTCCTAGAGTGAAGCCAGTCTGAGGACAGCCCCCCAGCCCAGAGAGCGTTTTCCCCAGAGCTCGCTCATATTACCAGGACTTCATCTCGATCTTTGATTTGCTTCTCAAGGTCTTCAATTCGGTGGAGGACTTCCTGGAGACAGAGTTCAGAGAAGGAGCATTAGGCAGCTCTCCTGGCGCCCCTATGTGTGTGCACACACATGCACACACAGACACACTCACAGTGACTCAGAATGAGGGAAAAGAGGGAAGGAGGTGTGTGTGGCTCTTAGGACAAAAGAGGGTTCCTAGTTTCTACCTGATTTTTTGCCTGGTCAGTAAGCCCAAGCTTCCAGGTCTTTCCCCAACCAACAGAGGAAGGGAAGTGGACAGCACTGAGGGTGGTACTGTGTGTAAGACATCATGCCAAGAGTTAGTGCCAGTGCAGGGGAGGGAACCATCGATCCTGGTTCATCTCATGCGACCCTCTATCAAAGCCTTCCAGGACTGCAGCAGGAGGTCCACCTTGCCTCACAAGGAGCAAGGACCAGAAACCTCGGCGGTGTATGCTGGCTGAGAAGAATCCTCAAGAGAATCCAAGCCAACTGCTAAAGCGTAAGTTGTACCATATAACTTGTGCCACCTCCAGAATCAAAACAAAAAGAAACAAACACACTGGATTTGAAAGTTTAAAAAGCAGAGAGAGAGGAAGGAGGGGAGGGAAAGGGGAAATAATGGGGAAAGATATTGGCCAAATTATACTGTTACATTGTGTGCATGTATGAGTATGTAACAGCAAACCCCATTATGTACAACCATAATGTACCAATCAAAAATGTGAAAGAAGAGCAGATAGTTCTTAAAGTAAAGATGAGTGTGCTGGGCTCCCCGGGCCAGTGCTGGTGTGTAGGATGGCAGCAATGCCAGGCAGCCCTGGGGGCTTGGCTTCCTCCAGCCTTTCTGGCCTTCCCATTTCTCTTCCAGTCTCCCCCAGGCTTTCTTCCTAATTGCTCCTCCTTCTCTCCAGGTCCACCATCCACAACCTGACACATGCCTTGAAATAAGAGCATGTGTCTGTTATCACCTTTGTCGGAATTGCTGGGTGTTTCCTACCGTGCATCAGATATAGGCTATGCTGAAGCATTTACATATACTTCACCCTCCAGAAACCTGGAAGTCCAGCTGAAACTGACTGATCCCACATGCTGCAGCTCCTGTCTGTAACCAAGACATTGTTGTCTAATTCCTCCTCCCACCTCCCCTTCTGTGCACTGGCCTTTGGTCTTCAATGCCTGCCAACTGATTATTTAATATCAATTAATTTAGCAATATTAGGGATGGAACCCAGGGACGTTCTGTCTCACTAAATTGTTCAGCTGGCTTTGAACTGCCTCAGCCTCCAGAGTTACTGGGATTACATGTGTGCACCACGGTTCTTTATTCAAGGGAAATAGGCTCTAAGAATAGTTGAGATGTTGTCCCTGCTGGGTCAGTCCAGAGACTGTGGGTGCCCGATAAGGGGTGGGTGGTCTCCAGAAACAAGGCTAAGGGAGGAAGAACTGGGGAAGAGGCCACTCTGCTCTAAGGTGTAGTCCCCAAGCACATTCACCTGAGGCCTAAACTCGGGAGACACCATTTTGTAGGCTTCTTTCAGGTTCTTCACATCTTCCACCACATCCTGGAGCACGCGCATGACCTGCAAGGAAGAGCATGGGCCTGGTGGGACCAAGCTGCACCCAGGCCTGGTGACCCTGGATTGGCCTCTCCCTCTCTGTGGCAGCTCAGGGCTTAGCTCCTACAGGCCGAGGGCTGTCTAGAGGGACAGAGGGTCTGCAACGCAACGTCTGCACACTGACCTTGGGGGTGCTGCCTCCCACGGTGTCCTTCAGGACCTTCCCAGACCTTATCTGAGCTGTGTCCAAGGTTGGCATGTCCATCTCCTCCAGCCACTCTGGGATGGCCAACTGTTGTGCGCTGATGAACTGCAAGTGGGTGGTGATGTCCTCCACCTTGCCGTCCATGGTCTTGAGCTGCTTGGTGAGGTCCTGCACCTGGTTCTCCAGCGCCAGGGAGAAGGACCTGCTGATACCTCTGCGTTTCTCTTTGGACCCGGGCGGGAACTGAGTGCTAAAGGAGCCCCGGAGGGACTCAAGTGAGCGGCCTGCCTCCGGGGACAAGGTCTGGAGGTCGATAAGAGTCTCTAGGATGCCGAGGTTCTTGAGTATGGCCAAGATGAGTGTGTGCAGGACAGTGAAGTTGACCGCGCCCACCTCCGGGGTGCCGATGGCCAGGTCGGCCAACTCCCGGAGGGAGACCTTGGTGGCTGGAATTGCGGGCGGCATCGTGCGTCCTAACGGGAGCCGGGCGCGGGTACGTGGGTGTGGGCAACCTGAGTCCCCTCACTGCTCGCCTCGCCTCCAGGGACTTTTCGGTCCTGCAAGGCCAAGGCGCCTGGGCCGCCCCTGCACCACACCTGGCCTCCTTTTGACCTGGCCTTCCACAGTCCGCCCCCACCGCCTCTGGGCGGGGCGAGGCGGCGGCCCTCCCTGTCGGGTCTCCGGCCTCCAAGCTCCAGCCCACCTCGCTCCCTCGCTTGGCCAGGCCAGCGGCGGCCGTTAGGCACGCGGGCGCCTGGTTCTCCGCGGCCCCGCCCCCTCCGCGCGCCCGAGGGTTCCGTGTAAGAACAGGCCCCACGAGTCTGGGGGGGATGCTGCTCAGACTCCCCCAAGCCCAAGGGGAGCCCACAGGAAGGCAGCATTCGCATACCCCAAGCACCACTATTTTTTATTCCCAGTAAGTGCTCCGAGGAAAGGTGCGTGGGCGGCGCCAAGCCATGTGTATGACTCCAAGTCTGGGGACGCGGTGTGGGGTGGCCTAAGGCTCAATTAGGCTCTGTCCATCCCCCTAACCTAGAAAGGCCTCCCACTTGTTCTTGAGGGATCGTTAAAACCCGAAAGATTTAAAGGGAATAGTCGCACCACGCTTTGTACCACCAATCGCCATTCCACCGCACAGGGCAGGGCCACAGGATGCAGTCCTGAGCTTTGGCCCTGTGGGGGCAGTTCCATTTTGTGAAACCAAAAGGCGACCTGGAAATTACCCATGCTCAGGCGGTTCCAGTTATCCGCCAGGTGGCAGACTTTCTCTGCCGCTTAACATCTCCAGACAAGCTTCATCTGGTCAAGTGCCAGCACCACAAGTTCATTAGGACCAGGCAAATCTGATGCAAATCCCATGCCAGTTTCTTCCAGAAGACAAGATTTTACCTGCAGTAAGGCTAAAGGAAGCCTATGGCAGTGTGTACACCACGTCCTTCAACCATACCATCTCAAATTTGCAGTTAGTCTGGGTCGACAGTTTTTGAACAATTTCAGCACCCCATGTTCCCAGTATCTAGTGAACAGCCCAGCACCCAATGGTTGACAAACCTAAGAATCTTTTTGCAATCTTTTGTACATTTACACTGTTACCTTGAAAACTTAAGGCCAGATCACGAAGTTAAAGCCTTAGGAACAAGTGTGGGCTGCACGGGGTTGTGGTGCACAGCGGGACCAGTAGGTCCACATGCTTATCTGCAACTTCAGGAATTTTCCAGAATGTTAGCAGATACAATTACACTAGCTATAATCAGAATTGAAGTGTCCTCAAAAGCTCACTGTTAAGCCCCTGAAGCTTAGTATCTTTTTTCTCTCTAGTGGTAGGGATTGAACCTGAACTCTCCTACGTGTCAGGCAAGTGCTACCACAAGCTACACCTCTACTCTCAGTATCTTGCTAAGGCACATTAAAATTAACAGTTGAGCAAGATGGTGCATGCCTGTAATCCCAGCTGCTTGGGAGGCTGAGACAAAAGGATCGCAAGTTCAAAGCCAGCCTCAGCAAGTAAGGCACTAAGCAACTCAGTGAGACCCTGTCTCTAAATAAAATACAAAATAGGGCTGGGGATGTGGTTCAAATGGTTAAGTGCCCCCCCAGGTTTAATCCCTGGTACCCAAAACAAAACAAAACAACAAAACCTGACTAACTACCACACACCAAGGGTCAGAGTAGCATTTTCTAGTTCTACAAGCTATGATCTATTTTACTAATTACCTTTGCTAAATAAGTAGATTTGGAAATCTCTACCATTGGATACAGGGAAAGAAAAAAATGTTAACTGAAGATATAAGTGGAATTTGACTCAAAAAGGACCTTAGTTTTTAACCCCAAGTCTCCTTTTTCACAACTGAAGGCAGAGGCCCAGAAGGGGCCATCATCTGCCTACCCTTGACTAGTAAGAGCCAGGTCTCCCCCCCGGCAGCCCACTGGCTCTTCCCTACCTCCATGCTAATTACTTTAATGATTGTCCTTTGCTCAAAAGAAGGGAACTTATTTGTGCTTAAAAAAGCAAATGTGGGTTGGGGACTTTGTCATTAGAAAAGGGATAAAGTCAAGGAAACTTTCTTGCAGAGAAATACAATTGTACAAATAAAAGAATCTTCCCTGAGGCCTCACAGAGCCAATTAGCAATTCCAACTCATTTCCCAGCCATAGTCCTCCTTCCTGTGACAAGGTCCTGGGCTGGAGCAGCTTGAGCAGCTTGAAGGCATGACAAGCAGTAGGAGCTTGCAGTGAGGCCTCCTGACAAAGGTGACAGGAACTTGGAGTAGTGATGTAGTTTAGAAGGGCCACGGCAGTCGTAAGAACACAATCTATGGGGCATCATCTATCACAAAGGAAAGACAGTTCATTCTATTTCTCATTTAGATTTTAACAAGGATTCAACTTCAAGGCTTAGGAAGGAGATGGAATCTGCAGAGGGAGATACTTCTAGGCTCTGGACCCCCAACACCCCTCATTTTGTATCCACTGTCATCTGAACAGTCGGGACAGAAGTGAGTCACCACCCAGGCAGCAAACAGGGAGCTCTGCAGAGCAGGGACAAGACCAGTGAGACAATAAATTCTTTTATTTGCAACTTAGCAACGCAGATACCCAGGGGCAGGCTGTTCCTTTCCAACCTAACATCTGGAGAGGAGCAGTGACACAGTACTCCACTGTGCAGGGGCAGCAGGCACAGTAGATTCTGAAAAAAAGATAGGGTTCTCTATAAAAGCCTTCTGCAAACTTGACTAGGGAGAGAACTGGAGAGAGAAGGTGCCAGGGACTCAGCTCCTGACCAAGGTCAAAGTCACACTGCGCCCCAAAGCTGAGACAACTGAAGGAACACTACAGAGCTAAGACTTCATCCGCCTTGAACTCCTCTTCAGTATCAAGGAGACTCCTCAGAGAGCGGCTGTCATCCACTTACGGAATAGGGCTGACACTGCACGTTTAAGGCCGTGTTATGTTATCTACTAGTTCCGTCTCCACTACTTAAGGCCCCTTTTCCACAGATCTTGGAGAGACTAGCTAACTCCACACCACGTCCTGTCCTCCCTGCAAGGACACACTGTGTTCATAGCTGCCGGCACCGCTTGGTATGTTTTCCTTGGGAGTTCCAGGGCCAGGGCCACCATGAAAGCTAGTCATCCACTGTGATGTTTCGGAAAAGGTAGGCCATGGACTCTCCATTGTGGATTCTCCGAATTGCTTCAGAAAGAATCAAACTGATATCCACAGTCTTTATCTTGGGACACTGCAGCTTCTGGACCTCATGAGGGACAGTGTTTGTCACCACCACCTAGTCATACAGCAGCAGAAAATAAAGTTACAAAATGTGTGTGCTCTAAAATGGTTACTCAGAAAAGTATCTAGCATTCAGTACCCACGAGCCAAGTTCTAAGCTACAAAACTTCATTCTACTGAGCATGTTTTTAAATTTTTTTAGTTGTAGATGGACACGATACCATTATTTTATTTATCCATTTTATGTGGTGCTGAGGATCAAACCCAGTGTCTCACATGTGCGAGGCAAACACTTGCCCCCTCAGTACAGTTTTTACAAACTAAAGTTAACCAAGTTTCCACAAGGAAAGCTTACATGGCTCAGAAAATAAGACTCAGGCCCTGGGAATGTCACACTCTATACAGGGAGTCCCAGCATTGTGCAAAACTTTCCTATTATCAGGGACAAATTCAAGTCTCAAATGCCATTTCAGTGTCAAATCATATTAAAAAACTGAAACAAACATTTATGCAAATAGGCATATATTCTTAAATGTTTCTACCCCAACAAGGCTGCTAGTCAGCAAAAAAGTACTGTTTCATAGGTACTCTAGAAGGATGAAGCAACTTAACACTGACTGGGTCATCTTATTATTCACAGAAACTACAGCAGCAGATCTTGACTCAAGCTAAATGTTTGAAGCCCTTTATTTATTTATTTATTTTCATGGTGCCAGGGATGGACCCAGGGCCTTGTGCATGTCAGGCTAGAGCTCTACCACCGAGTCCTCCTCCAGCCCTGTCCTAGTCCTTCAGAAATAGACATACCTCGTCAATGGAGGACTCCTCAATCAGGCGGGGGGCATCTGCAGACAGGATGCCGTGTGTGGCCATGACATAGATCTTGTAAGCGCCCCTCTCTTTCAGGATCTCTGCAGCGGCAACAAAGCTCTCCACGTCATCAATAATGTCATCCTGCGAGAACAGTGTTAGTATAAGGAAGTGGCCTCTGCTCCCATCTATGGACACACAGCTCCCTGCTCTTTTCTGCAGTTGGTTCTGGAGGGTTTCCAAGTCTGGGCCCGAGTCAGAGATGGCAAGAGGAACACTTCAGCAGCACCTTGCACAACTGGCAGAAAGTGGTGAAATCTTCCAGTCAAGTACGTGTGACAGGAGAGCTCAAGCTGAGGACTGCCAAGGCTTCTTCTCTGTTTTCAAATTCCTGATTCATCCCACAGAGCTAGTGTCCCACTTTTTTTTCTTCCAGGAAAAAGTGACATATCAGGAAAACAGAATAAAGTGAGCTACCGTAATGACAGGTGAACCTCTTGCCAGCAAAGAAACTTGGAGCCAAGAGCCAACACGTCAGAATGCAGCGGGCAGGGGAAGGGGCTCTCTTCTCACCAGTGACAAGGAGACAGCACATCTCCAGTTCATTACATGGCCCCAAAGTATAAGGAAGATGAGGCGGCTGCCCCGGGTGAACTGGGGCCCAAGGTGAGGCTGCAGTGCTGAGCAGGAGGAACCATGCTCCTTTACACCTAAGGGTCATGTTCTAATCCCTGTTCAACTACCGCTGCTACTTCTCCTAAAGGAGTTGGGTGAGAAAAGATGGACAGACTCACTGAATCCAGCGCTGCGCTGGAAGTACAACCCAGAAGAGGACACCTTCTGGCTGAGTGCCAGCAGTGTCACCCACGCACCAAGGCCAGCCACACGTCACCGTACCACTATAATGTCACCGTACCACTATAATGTCACCGTACCACTATAATAGCGATGCGTCCTCCAACATCCCCAACTACGGTGATTGGTGGCTTCTCTTTGGCCATCATCACTAGCAAAACAAAACAGATCACAAGACTTGTTAGTTATGTGTTGCTAGATAACTAAGCAATCCCAACCTCATTCCTGGGAGTGGGGCAAAAACCAGAGCACAGATGACGATGACAACCACCCATGCAGACTCCCCCCACCACGAGCCTGGAGTCTCAGAAACAGTTGAGAACAGCGATGACCCACAGAAGAAGGCAAGCCTGCAATGT